GCAATCCAAATGGAAATATGCATGCGCTCAAATCAAAAGGCAAAAATGTTGATGTGAAAATGAAATTCGGTATGTTTAAGGCTTTTGTGAATATGAAATGACATGCACATGAACACATCAGCAGTATCAGCAGAGGCAGCAGTAGCACAGCGACAATCGTAAATTACATATATCAGAAAAGTTGTTACGAATGACTGTTGTTAGTATATATATGGCACTCTCTCGAAACCATATTGGAATTTTCATATTTTCGTATTTTGCGCTGTTTTATTCATGTTAATAATAAATATTCCGATTTTCAAGCAAAAATCTATCTTACTCGCTCGCTCTCTTCGTCACTTTCTCTCTTTTGCTTCTTCGTACACATAATAATCGATTGAGGCGTTTGTGTACGTGTATTTGTGTGCTCTGTTCCCGTTGAATGCGTTGCCATCGCAATAAACGAGGAAAAATTTTATGACTTTTCGGAGTTGTGAGTATGTGTTAGCTGAACCGCATCACCGATGACAGCCCAAGCAAATAAAAACACAAAAAAAAAAAACGATCTGACATGAATTTTCGATGCAAAACCGTAAAGAATTATATTCCAATGTATTATGCGATATCATACGTATTTTCATAAGCGAAAAACTAGAGCAAAACAATAAACAAACAACAATAGTAAATGGTGAATTTATGGCATATCACATTTTGCACATATCACCGAATTGATTTCGACAATGAACATAAAAATAAAAATCGAATTAAACTCGCCGAAGTTTAGACAGTTGAAAGGGGAAAAAAATTAAACAAAAGGTTATAACTAAATGTGGGCACGTGCAGAAAACAAAACAATAAAGTGTTGAACGTCAATGTACTAATTCAAATGCTGTGGAATTATTCGAATAATGTGGTCATCATTAGATTGACAGTTATCTTTGGTTTGCGTATGGTATAATTTTGGTCGAGGTCATGATACATTACAATCAGACAGCTGAATTATCTCAACCATATTAAAAACAACATTTCAGCTGTAATAAAATGCGTGCCAAAATGAACGACACACAAAATAAACGCAAGAGTTCCAAATGACATTGAATAAAAGTAATCACTCAGACTTAATGTAACAATTCAGACAGAATAATAATAAAAAAAAACAAGACAAAGGAAATAGGTAATTTTTCGATATATCGCAAATGGACAAATAATAATCAGACATCATCTTATGTGATTATTGGCGACGGCCACAAATTGACCACTTTTTTGCCCAATGGAAAGCGACAACCACAAACCATATTATAGCGAAATTCTCTCACATCAGAAGACATTCAAAACAAAAACCACACAATGACTCAATTATATTCTCAGAGCGCAGACGAAACATAAAAGAGAAAAGCAACACTGTGTGTGTGTGAGAGAGAGAAAATTATTCCAACGAAATCAAGATACATCTCGATTACATTCAAGCCAAGCAAATCATCTCTCATGAAAATAAATGACCATTTTCATCATAATGTAATTTTCTGGCCAATTTTTTCTTTCATTTTTCCCTTTAACTTTGTGATTTTAATTTTGTTACGAAATAAAAACATTTTTAATGAGAGAGTTCAACTTTTTAACAAAAAAAATCGAAAAAAACTTCAAATTCTCCTCATTCACGCAATAGTCTAGGAAATATAGTCATAAATGCGCGGCTGTCGCCGTCCAGAACAACTACAAAAAAATAAACATATTGTACAAACATAAAATTCGTGAAAATAAAAGAGAGAATTTAAAGAAAAGCAGCATACAGAAACACAAGTTAATTAAATGCCTCGTCATGTATATACAAATTTGATTAAAAACGACGCAGTAACGTCTAAACCGCTATGAAAAAACGAATGAACGAGACGGAGCTCGTAAATGTAGTATGAGAATGAGACTGAGAGCGAAAGCAGGAGTGAAAAAATATAGGTAGCCAGTCGCCTATGAGCCGTTTTAAAAATGAGTACACGTAATATAACGTGCGTCTTAAGTAAAGAGAAATGTGTTCGTTGCCATTTGTCTCACTTATTTCACATTATTCATTCGTGTGTGTGTGTTTTTTTTCTTTGTCCAAACTCTGCTTCATTTTCAGCTATGAAATTTCTTTCATTCTATTTTTAAAAAAACTATACTATACAACATTTGCGCCATAACTTTGGCGTTGGACTTTTTTTATAATTGTAATAAATCGCAACTTTTCATAAGCATGTGTTTAATCCACTGTTCTTGCAACATATTGACGACTCAAAACATAATGTAAACACCTTTAGCAATATTCGTTCTGTGTGCGGTGTGTTACATCGTAAAGAAGAAGAACCATAGCATGGTAATAGAACGAGCTGCGAAATAGCACTACGAAATGTAAATAAAATAATGGGACGAAAGCGTATGAAAGATGGAACGAAATAGTTGGGCGATTCCATCTCTTGCGTGGTTCAATGAAACACTTAATTACATTTCGAATGAAAATTTTTTCGTCTGTATTTACAATTTGTGTATAGTTTAGCAAAATAAGAAACTTGATGGTCGTTTCTTTTTCTTTCTTTTGTTTTATTCTACTTTGTGTAATCAAGTGGCTGACATACAAACATAGAGAAAAATGCTCGAGACAAACAAAGGGAATGTACGCGCACATGAAATTAATCAAAAGAATTTACTGAAAATGTGTGTGGTACTTGATAATGTTGCTATAAAATAAAGAAGTTCCTAACCAAATCACATGGTCCTTATACATCTTACCAACTTATGCGTGTCGATTGCTCGCTTCTATGCGCACACAGAGAAAGAAAAAAAGGTGATTGTGGCTATGAGTCGGTTTTGGTAGACGCGAATCATTTAGTAAGTTGTACATGAAACGAGGTTTTGTCGTCGATTTCAATAGTGGTCGTAATAGTGACTGCAACTGTCGAAAAGCCAAACTGCAATAGCATACTGCAGCGGCTTGTGATGGGTATTCGTGTTTGCTCAACATTAAATCGAAAGCAACCAACGAAATAGACAGAGAGAGAGAGAGAGAGAAAGAGAAAAAAACGAACCGTCGCAATAAACGAAGTTGTTTTGGTTTTTCAATGTCTTCGTCGTCACTCAATTGCAAAAGGGTCTTTTTCACTTGTGTGTACTTCTCATTTGAAATGTGCCGTTGTTGTTGTCTGTACAGAATTCAAACTAAAAATGATTCGATTCACTTGCACACGGTGACTTTGTATATGGTTAAAATGCATTTGTGTGTGTTCCCTCATTTTTGCCATTCGTCCCATGATGCATCATCATTGCGAAGACTTACATTCGGTACTACACAGCATATACACATGAGAAAGTTTTCGTTCCTGTTTTTACATTCACATCATCGAGGGAATAAACAACACAATAGTACCTATAACGAATGAAAAATACCAAGAAGGCAATGAAAATACTCATAAGATCATAAAAACTCCGGAGGAACAAAAAGTGTAGAAGAATCAACAACAATAGCAGCAGCGATATATATATATTAAAATCGAAAGAATGCAGGACACACATTCGCCGTTGTGCTTATGTATGTATGTCCGTATTTATGTGTGTGTGTGTGGGTTTGTGTGCATAAAAAGGTTCCGTGGGGACCGGTGTGCGTAGCGTGTATTTTACAATCTTGTGCGATTAAAAAAACGTAGAATGAGCAAGCACGAAGAAGGAAGATGGAATACATTCAACGAACACACACGAATGAATTTACTTCATCGACTTGCTTACCATTAAACAATCTTCTTCGTTTTTTATTTTCATTTCGCCCATCATCTTCACCTCTCTTATTCGATCTGTCTGTTTCTATCTTCTCTCTGTTTGATACAATTGATACCAATGCTGTTGGATTTTTTTATAGATTTTTTTGTGATAGTTTCATTTTATCTGTGGTCAAGACGAAGGAACGGACATACATCAAATCACCGAGAATGTGCGTTTTTGGATAAATCAAAGATAAATGATTACGCTTAGAAAATAAATTGTACGATGATTGAACACAGCCGCCACGGCGACATTCGTTTGGTTAAGTTTTGGTAATTAAACAGGTACAGAGAGAGAGCGAGAGAGAAAAATAAAGGAATATGGCAAATTATCTAACACCAAGAAGATGCTCTTCTTCCGACTTAAACCTGAGGATTTATAGGGCTCCGATAGTTTTGTACTTGCGGCGATTATTTGATCTTTTTCCCTATTATTATTGCTCAATGCTGGTTTTTAATTCGATTTTTTCTTCGTTGTGTTATTTTTTTCCTTCTTAATTCTTCTCTCAATCGTTTCTTCTTTCAATCGAATTGATTCTATCTATATACGTGTGTACCTTGTGTTCGTTATGGTTGTTATAACCTGATGCATTTGTGTGATTCAATTTTCGAATTTCAACGCTGTTTTACGTTCAAAACGAACAATTGTAGCAAAAGGCAATTTATTAACATAAAACTAGCTATTCATTCCTATTGTCCAATGAGGTTTACGCCGAGATTTTCATCAATGAAATTTATTCAATACATCTAACGAATCGACGGAGAGGAAAGTGCTTATACGAAAAAAGATAGAGAGAAATCACACACAAATTAAAATGTTTATCATTTCGTTTAAGAGCGTTGCTGATTGGCTTTGAATGGAAAAATATCAACCACAATGAAATGGAAAATGAAGAGAGAATATCCGAAAAAAAAACAACAACAATCACATTGAGCCACATAATTAGCGTAATAATTATGTGTATATGTATTTATGTTTATTTATGCTTTTTGTGCAGTTTTCCCATCGTATAAAACAATCTGTCTATGTTTGATTCATTAAATTTCGTTGTTTCGGTCTGGCTGTTTCTGTTGTGCTGTTGGATCTTTTTTCTTCATCTCGTTTATTTACTCTCTTTCTCTCGGCTACTCCGACAAAAAATTGCTTTGCTGTAAACTTCCTGTATGTTGGATTTGTTTGCATTTTGATTTTTGCTCAAAAAAGGAGATGTAATGTTTATTTTTTGTTTTGTTTACCTTATATTATCGCTTTTTAATTGTCGTGCCCAAGCTGTTTCGGTGTAATTCAATCCACTGGTTTTGTTTTTGTTTCACACACTTTTCCCGAATAAAAAAAGAACGAAACTTATTTATATATTAGATGAATGGTTGAAAATGAATTTCCAACGCTGAACTCCAAATGTTGTTATTCGGTAAGAAAACGGTGCGGGACAATTGTCGCTATTTTCTTTAGATGTTTTTTTTTTTGTCTTCTTATTCTTGGTTTTATTTTCTATTTGGGTTTTGCTTTTATTACACCTTATGACCAAATCGCACTGTTCTTTTTTTTCTCTTTACGCTTATTTTTATTCGACTATTGTTATTATAATAAACAATTTCCTTCCGAATCTGATTATCGTTTATCTGTTATGTTCGCCGTTTTTTTTTTCTCTTTGCTAAAGTACAAGAAGAGAACCGAAGAAGGTAATTTCACCGTCGTAATAAATTACAGAGTCGGTCACACAAAACAAGGATCACTTTTTTTCCTTTCTTTCTCTCTCTCTTTTATTCTGTTTGAGTTTACGGTTGCACAAAACATAAAACCGTCACATTAAGTAGTAATAAATTATTTTCTTTGTAACAAGTTCGGTATTATATTATTATTATTAGCTCTGCGCACGTTTGAATCAAAGAATCTATATTTTCTTCATTCAAGGCAGTGAATTGTTTTTCCAACTTTTTTAATTGTCTTCCTGAGTCGCGCGATGTAGAAGACGTGACTTGATAAACACAATATACAATGAAATCGTCAAATATGTGATTTATTTCTGTTCACTTTGTTTTATTTTTACACATAGACGACGGTATCGCTTGTGATTGGCTTTCGCTAATCAGCTTCAATATAAATAGCATTCGACACAATTGACTATTAAAACCAAATGCAATCAAAACTATGGCATTGGTCAATCGCTGCAAATTGAATGTAAACACGAGAGTCGTTTTTTTTTGGTTGAAACTAGCACAAAACGGTAGAAAAAAGAACCGACACTATTGTGGGTGCAATTCTCGTCTCCTTTATCGATTTTCTCACAACGGTCACGTACCATGCAATGTTTTGTTCAATTTAATCGCGGGGCCTAAATTTTAAAGAATTTTTTTTTGTCAGTGTCCTTTCCAATAATACCGTCTATCGGAAACAAAACAATCCACAAAATGGATACACAAATCCTTTAGCCGACTATTCAGAGTTTAGGTTTAAACTGTTTTGCTATTCAGAGTTTAGGTTTAAACTGTTTTGTTTGGAGTTATTGGTTTTTTTACTGCAAACGAATCACTGCGGCTTTTGCCGATAAATTTCTGTCACGCTGTTTTGATCGATTGATTTACGTTTTATATATTTTAAATATGTTATTTATTGAATTTTACTTCGATTTAATTTCGGATGATGATTATTCGATATGAAACTTTTGGGTCAGCTCGTTTTTATCGCACTTGATTTGTCCTCTTTATTTGTTTGTTCAGCGCTACCGATTTTTCCGCAAAAACAATAACATCCACACAAAATTCAAAACAAAATGGCAAATTAAAATCACAATAACAAACCGAATAACCGAAAAAAAAAATGTTTATTTTCGCTTGAAATAAAATAAAATATCGTGTGAAAGCGTGTACGAGCGCGAGAGATTACAAAAAAAGAATCGAAAAAACCTGTATGCACACAATTCTTTAGAACAAAAAAAGTGTATCAAGTTGCGAGAGAGAGTCCTTTCTATGGTTGTTGTTTAAAACGCTGGTAGTATTATTTCTTGAACTCGATGTCTAAAAGAGAGTACACAATGTATATATGCCACAAATACACATACGAAAACGTCCTACGAGCTGAACAGTCAACGAGCGTCTATCTCTTCCAACTTGAGAATTTTCTTCATTCACATCGGTGATTGTATACAGCGAAAGACCGCACATGTGTTTGTATATCGTGGCGCACACATGACGCATGTGTGAGTGAGAGAGCGCCGTAATACACAATGTTATGGGTTTTGTAGTTGATTTCACGGACAAATCTAGTTTGAATTTACGATTAATACCGCCCGTTTTCGATAGATGGCGTCTTCCGCTGATGAGGAGATATTCGTGTGTGTTTGTTTTTGTTGTAGTTTTCATCAAAACATACAGCCAATTAGAAACATTTTCACTCATGCGGCGGCTTTTGACTATTCAAGTAAAGAAAATACTTACTTATTCATTGATACCTACATTTCAAATACTCGATTAATCCTTGAAACACAAGACAGCCATATGAATTAAGATCGAATGAATAATTGACGATCCACTTAATTTAGCTAGGTTTACCTTAATGCCAAAGTATATCGATAAAAAGCACTCTCGATCCAAAACCTCATTGATGTTTTCAAAAGTAAAGAAAATGTTCAACATTTTCATGTTCACCGGGAAACAGATTCAATGAAATACGGTGTGTGTGTGTTTTTCGATTTAGTTATAACATGGTATTTTGTTGTTGTTTTTTTATTGAAACTGTAATTTTTCATGGTTTTCGAATACAATGGAAATGGTTGTTAAATTTCACAAATTTGATTATTGGTTAGTATGCACGTTAATATAAAACTTGCACACGCAAAACATTGAAAACGAAAATGAAAAAATACGATTGGTTGAAAGATCTACTTCAACTTCTTCTTTGGGCGCAAGTTGTTGGTGTGTCCGCACTTCTTCTTACGGCAATTTGTAGCTCTTGGATGCAAACGAGCGTAGCATTTACGGCAAATCATTTTGTCGCAATTGTATTTTTGGGCCAAAATACGAAGAGATGGCTCAATGATACCACCACGAAGACGCAACACCAAATGCAATGTTGATTCCTTTTGGATATTGTAGTCAGACAATGTGCGACCATCTTCCAATTGTTTGCCAGCGAAGATCAAACGTTGTTGATCTGGTGGGATTCCTTCTTTGTCTTGAATCTTGGCCTTTACATTTTCGATTGTGTCTGATGGCTCGACCTCAAGTGTGATGGTCTTACCGGTTAAGGTTTTTACGAAAATCTGCATCTTTCGTGTTTTTTCGCTATTGTTCTAACCTGAAATGTAAAAATATATGCAAAAAATTAATAAATATCCATTAAATTTGACGATGATTTTGTAAAATCGAGCGAATGAAATTGCAACGAAAAATATGTGTGTTAGTTGCGCACACGATGTGAAACAGTATCACATCACATGGAAAGGTTATGTCTGTTCTACACAATAATACAAAACATATAAATTTTTTACAAAATTTCATCAATTCCACTGCAACTAACATATTTTTCCACAATTTTCATTGCTAAATTCACGATTTATTGCAAAAAAAATGTAAAAAAATCAATTTTTTTCGAAAAATTTAATAAATTTATCGGAGCACTCACCAAACTAAACGTGGTACAGAATGCCACTTTGAAAGAAAAGAACATTCAATATGGCGCATTGAATGACAATCACTTTCTTTCCGTCTGTCTAAAACAGAGTGGCGCTGTCAACACCAACTTAAGTGACAGCAACGAACAACTACTTGAAATTGATCTTTGATGAAATGAATTCAAAAAAAGTGTGAATTAATTTAATTTTCATAATGATAAAAATCGAATGATGAAAATCAAACAAAATAAAATATTCAAACGAAATTCTCTATGGAAAATATTTTTTTCAACGTAAAATTTGGTTTTGATTTTGTCCAATTCATAGTACTCACCAACCGTACGTATTGCCATTTGACAAAAGTTGTCATCAGACGCACTCATTCAACTTGAAACGAAACATTTTTATTCTCTTGTTCAAGTCTCATGACATTTCCATTAAATTTAACCACATAAAAACCATTCTGAATGAATCCAAAACGTATCATTGTGGCTCCGTATTCATGTTCAAACTTCTTTTAATTTATTGAAATAAACATAAAAATAATCTAATGTATTTCGTGTGTAATTAGACAATTTATTTATTGATATTATATTATGGTGATATTTTCATTCACCAAGTGATTAAGTATAAACCAGTATATAAAAAAATTCTAGAATTTAGCATAGTTGTTTTTTTGTGTAGTTCCTGTGCAATCCACAAAAAAGTCTCATCATCATGTCGAATGATGTGGCCGAATCAAATGCTGTTGTGCAGTCCGATGGTGACACAGAAAATACACAAGTATGTTTATTTTAAATTGGTAATTAGTGCTCCATTTTTGGCGCCATTTCTCCTAATTCACGCGGAAAACTTGTAAGACAAAGATTATTGAGAATTTTATGGCATTTTTTCTCTTGCAAAATCACTGCCATGAAAAATGAATGAAAAAAAATGTTGACATGAAATGTTTGTGGTTTTTACTGGAACAAATGCTCGAAATTCAGTGAACAATGGGCGTTTTATGTCATTACGTGGCTTAAAATTAGTGCAATTAACCTTCTAAAAGACGAGAGAACAATGGTCATGCAATGCATTTCAGTACCTGAAATCACGGAATTTAATCAATTTAATCGTTCAAATATTTTGAAGACTGTTTGTCAAGATTGTTTGTCGCAAGAAGACGGGAAAAAACACATGTAATTTAAAGAAAAGAAAATTAAATCGAATAGATAAGATAATAGATTCAAGCAACCTACATACGTTCGCCCATTTTAATTTCAATTATAATAATGAGTTTGCGGTGATTTCACGATTGTTCTTTTACGATCGTCACCGTCATAAAAAAATGGGTTCGACTCACATTACGATGGATACACGGAAAAAGTGCATATTATGTGTGCGGTTACGCAAACGCACAACCAAGCACCTGAATCTAATAATAGTTTCTTCCTTTTCGAAAATATTTCGTTAGTTCGGATAATCTCACATCGCATATGGTTTCGTGTGTGCAAAACCACAATCATCATTAACTCGAAGCAACTATTCAGCGACATTGACACTCATTCATTTTGAATACTATCATATGGTTTCATGTGGTGTATTATGCTGAAACCCAAATAATCCCGGCCTGTAATTTTGATTGGAACAATCATTTTGCGTGTCGTAAATTACGTTTGACGAAATAGGTTGAATTAAAATTAAAAAGCGAAAAAAAATAGGGAACCGGTCCAACATTGCATGAAATGTTAATGAAATAATGAGGAATCGACATCGATCACTTGTGCATAGACGTCAACCAACTATTTATCCATTGCCCATCGATCCAAGACAACGAATACGTTTTGTAGTGATTTAATTGACAAATTATTTACTTTATTTGATTTTGAACCTGAACTGAAAATGCGACGTTTATTAAGGTTCCAATTAAAATTAATCTGTTTTTTTTTTTGTCTTTTTTAGGCCATCACACAAGAGGAAGTACCAGTGACGCCACAGCCCACAAAATTAGAATCATTTTTTGCAATAACAAAATCATTAATTATCAGAGCACTCATCATATATTTTGTTTCGTCGTTTTTGCGTAAGCCAGCCTCCACACCGACAGAAGTGAGTCCAAACACATCGGCCGGTGTACAAGCTCCATCAAAGTTACCAGCATCGAATTTCTTCCTAAATGGCACACTATTCGATTTACATGTCTACATATCGGAAGATCAATTCAATGTTAATTTTAGCGATGCAAATAGTTTGATTTGGTTTCAAGAAGGTCTCACATATGGTGATTGGTATGCTGGTCGAAACGGAGATGGCACCGTTACTCATCACACAAAAATACGAGCATCCGAACAACTTAAGGTATAATTTCAAATTGGTCATTTTCTGTATGAAAAATCAATTTTAATGTTTTTTTTTTGTCTTTCAACTGATTTCTTTTAAATGCAGAACAATGGATCAATTTTTATCCATGTGTATGTCACACGATTCGGTATGACTCCGAATCCAAATGATATTGAATCGTATGCGAAGCAGGAGATGAGCCATTCCAGTCGATTGTTGAATAAGTTTAAAAAGATTCGTTACCAAAAAACGCATAATTTATTAACGGGCCAAACGGAAAAGAGTGAAGAAGTACAACGTAAATCAGAAATTATGTCTGCTGAAATTGTATCACATTGGCATCCAAATTTAACGATAAACGTTGTCACCGATCAAACAAATTGGGTTAAGAATCAAGTACCACAGCCGCTTGACGAGTATGTACAGTTTAGCGAAGATGGTTTAACATACTATCCAATTTTATTCTTCAACGATTATTGGAATATGTTGCGTGATTATCAACCGATTAATTCGACGACAGATATTTTGGAATTATCGTTAACGTATCAACCGTTGTCGTTGTTTAAATGGCAATTGTATGCAGCCCAAGCGGCCAAGAACAAATGGACGAGCAGCATATTTGGCGAGAGTCTTGCTGGCGCAACCGATGAAAATGATGAAGAACAAGATTCACTTAAAGAAACATTGTTGGATACGAACCCATATTTGCTCGGTTTAACAATTGCCATCTCAATTTTGCACAGTATTTTTGAGCTGTTGGCATTTAAAAATGATATTCAATTTTGGAATGCGCGTAAATCACTCGAAGGATTATCGGTGCGTTCTGTATTCTTTGGCGTATTTCAATCATTAATCGTGCTACTCTATGTACTTGATAACGAAACAAATTTCATGATTCGTGTCAGTTGCTTCATTGGTCTTGGCATTGAAGTGTGGAAAATTCAAAAAGTTGTCGATTTTAAATTCAACAAAGAAGACCGCTATTTTGGTATTATACCAAAACTTACATTCACCGACAAAGGCTCATATGTTGAATCGAGTACAAAGCAATACGATAATTTGGCATTCAAATATTTGGGTTGGCTGTGCTTCCCATTGTTGATCGGCTATGGTGTTTATTCAATCGTGTACAACGAACACAAAGGATGGTATTCCTTTATATTGAACATGTTGTACGGTTTCTTACTTACATTTGGATTTATTATGATGACACCACAATTATTTATCAACTATAAATTGAAATCCGTCGCACACTTACCATGGCGTATGATGACTTATAAATTTTTGAACACATTCATTGATGACATCTTTGCATTTGTCATCAAAATGCCGACCATGTATCGATTGGGTTGCTTCAGAGATGGTGAGTGATTGAAAGAGAAGTTTTTTTTTCGAACTGAAAGAGAACATAGATTCTAATTATTTTCATTAATTTTTGTCATTTGCAGACATTGTATTCTTCATTTTCTTGTATCAACGATGGATTTACAAGGTGGATAAGTCTCGTGTAAATGAGTTCGGTTTCTCGGGCGACATAGACGAAAATTCCAAAAAGAGTGTAGCAAACGGTGACGCAACTGAACCAGTTGGTGCCATTGAAGCAAAACCATCATCGCCGGTTGCAACAAAAACCAAATCGAAAAAAGACAAAAAACGAGATTAAGGTCTCTTAATCCAATTCTCATTTTTTTTTTTTAAAGAAACACACAATTCGAAATTACATGCCGTATTATACACCAATGAAGCGATTGAACATAACCGTATTTTATTTTGTTGTAAAATATTAAAATAGAATTAAATGCATATTTCAAACAAGCACATTGTTCAATCAAATGAATGTAAACAGGATTTTATTTTAGCGTTAGTTATTATATTGAATGTTGTTCGAATTGTGTAGTGTTAAAAACAAAAATAAGAATACCAAAATAAATATAGTAATTAAATATGTAACAATACTAGAATGTTACACATCTGCGTGAGTGAAAAAGAAAATTTTTGAACGACAAACGGGCATAAAACAAAACCATCTGTCAAAATAAATCTTTGTGAAAATCATCAATCGTTGTGTTTGAGTTTTATTTATGTTCATTTCCAAACGTCCACAAATTTCCCCTCAAAAATTTTGAAATTGTCAATTACAGTGTATTCTGTATTCTCACCTGTTGAGCAAAATCACGCAAACGAATACACATACACAAAAAAAGAGAGAGAGAGAGACTAGAGAGGCTCCAATACATAGATCGAGCCTATGTCAAATAGACTTCAATACCACACCAATGTACAATATACTGAAAGAGTCGAAAGGTAAATGGCTGCTGTGTGAACTGTCAAAAACATTCAAAGAGAAAACGCAAAGAGAGAAACAATGTTAGTCAACTACGCTGTGTGACACGTAACAACAAAATAATTTCTTTTTGTTTATTATTTGCACTGAAGAGTTCACAAATTCGACACTAAATAATTTATTATTTTTGCCAATTTTTATTTGTAAATACGTGTAAACATGCATCAATTTGTGTGAAATGTCAAAAATACCAATGTGTACGAATGGCCTAAATATCATTGAAATAATTGTACACAAAGAAGCAAGTGAATTCGATTTGCAATGTATTCCGAATGGGCATCTTTGAGTCCTGTGATAGCTGCCAATAGCAACAATTCATCGAATACTGTTTTAAATAAATTCTCATCTGTCGCTGGAAAAGAAGTATCACAAGCGGTAGTCAAACAATTGGCAGCAAATTTGGGCATTACTCAACCAGCGGAGCCCAGTATTTTGATAACCGATGAAGAAGTGAGTTAATTTATTCAATGAGTGTTACTTTTTGCTTCATTTGAATGTGCAACATCTGGTCGAAATGAATATTTTCATTGAATTTTCAACATTTATTCAGAAATGAATTTTAATCGATTTTTTTTTTTGTAACTTTTCTAGGTGAATTGGTGCATGAGTGTTATTTGTCATGGTTTGTATAAAATTCAGTTTCCAAATGGAATAAAATAAAAAAAAATTAACAAAATAAAATGTTACTTATTTTAGGTTTGTCATTGCCGTTGAGTGAACATGAAACAATCAAAGATTGCGTAAATGTCTATTGTGAATGGTTAACAGCGTTGTATCAAGTGCCGCGGATCAGTGTGCCGAAACCAATATGTGAAGACCCAAATTTATATGCGCGTAAAATAATAAATCATTTTCACAAATTGTTTGTACCACGTCAAGGCGAAGGTGAGACCACTTGCATATACAGATCACCCGATTCCGTGCATTTAATTTTTCAGTTTTTGCTGTTTTAATTTCAACTGAATTCTAAGTCTGTGAATGAAATATGCTTTTTTTACTACAACGCGCTGCTGCGATAGATCTATCTAAATATATATAAACAAGACACTCATTTTACACTTAAAAAAAAAAACTTTTACTTTGATGGAGTCATTTGTTAGGCTTGCTTCACCACGCGTCGTAATTTGCATCTCATAATGGCCAAAACGCGTAAAAACATTCCTAATACCGTTGATTGCTCTAGATCAAAATTTAATCGACCTTCCTTTTGACAACAACTTTTATATTCTAAAAAAAAAAATCCTATAAAAATAATCGACTAAATTTTAAAAAAATTTCTTTTCAAAGCTCGTTTTGCTAAATGTTTTTTTTTTGCTCTTGAACTAAACCACTTACTTAATAATCTAACGAATTACATCTTTTTTGTTTTCTCTTTGCATTTTTTTTTATATTGTGTTCGAAATGTTTGTATAAAAAAAAAGTTTGGCCATTTTTGTACCAGGATAATTTGGGTAAGAATCATGAATTTTGAACCAGTTTTCTGAATGGCTTGTGTTTTTATAGCTTAATGCTCTCATTGGAATGCTGCATCCTTAGACTATTTATTTAATTTTAGATAAATTGGTTTTTGTCTTTGTGTTTATGTCTGTTATTTATTTCGTGTTTTTTTTCGTAATATTTTCTTACATTTAGTTATTTTATCTACTTCATTTTAATTGGTATATATGCTATATGGATTTCATATTAACTGCGTATTTTTAGTTTTAAATATTGTTTTTGGTGATATGTTTCACTAAAACCATCTAACTGGATTCGTATACGAAATAACCACCAAATTCAAACAAATTTCGACTCTTAGTGACTATGCATTTGTTTATTGTTCATTTGAATTGTCTATGCTTCGCATGGGTTTATTTTTAGATATATATATTATTATTTTTAAATTCATTTGCTGACGCAATAGTCTTAGTTTTTTTTATATTACGTGAATCTATTAACATTTCGTAGATGTTAACATTGTTTTTGTCATTGTTATATCTCATCAGTTTTATAGTTAGCTTTTGCTTTTATCTTTTGAATGACAAATGATTACATTGCTTTCGTTTGATGCAGGTGCTGATTTAATAAATCGACAGGCAGTGCTATGTCATCGTGTGCTCCGTACATTGCAACAAGTATCACAATCATCACAAAAATTAACACCCGAAACATGGGAGTCGTTGTTATTGTTTCTGCTAGCTATAAACGAAGTACTCCTAGCACCTCCGGGCATGAAAGATGATGTTAGTGACCAGCTTTGTGAACGTGTGCTCAGTGTTTTGTTTGAAGTTTGGCTGATTGCGTGCGTTCGAAATTTTCCGTCGCCTTCATTGTGGAAAACATTACAAGAATCATGCCTGCTACTAAGACATCGAATCGCTTTAATTGAACAATGGAATCGAGTTAATCTTGCATTAACGGCACGTTTGCTAGAGTTTTTATATGGTCCTTCATTTCCAGAACTAAAAATCTGTAAGTTATTTCTTATTTCGAGGCAAAATGTAACGAATCAAAATAAAAACTCATTTATTTTTCTTCAGTGGAAGAAGACGCGCAATTGATACCATCTGGAATGACAAACGATTGTGTGGCACAAACATGGTATCGATTTCTGCGAACAATTGGATCACCGATTGCATTGTGTTCACCGCAAGTCGTTAGTAAAACACCACAATTCATGCAATGGGTCGTCTCACGAGCAGATGGCGTTGAAGCATTCCATCATCCATGTCTTTTGCAATTGCCATTCATCTTTCTAAAAGCAATCAAAGGAATTGCGAGTCAAGTAGATGCTTTTCTAGGTATGAAACACGGGAACTATTTGCACACTCTTTAAACGATTGTAAAAATGAATAATTCTCGTCAACTATATTTTCTTTTCAATTCTTTCACAAATGGCACTCAAAAAAACACATTTCAACCGCACAACACACAATACAACAAATTACACAACGCACGCACAATGTTTGTTCACAACTGGTGGTTATAGGTATATATCAAGCTCATCAGCCGATTGAGGTTTCGGGTGATCCAACGACGAATTCAACAACATCGGCACAACAACAACAAAAATCGGAAGAATTGTCACGTTTATCTGGTAGTGAAATTAAAAATAGTGGATTTATAAGTAGCAGTAGCTTAGCGATTGCTTCAATTGGTGGTGGTGGTAGCTCAGCAACGCCTAGCGTTGGTACAAATGTTTCCGGTAGCGGTAACGATTCTCCGACACCAACACAACATCGTCGTCTTGCAAAGAGTTTTTCCGTTGCTCCATCATTGTCACAAACAACAAAGGGTTGGTAACACAGTTTTCAGTGAAATCATCACTGGTATAATCATAATCCCGCACCTTCCCTATATTACAACATTTTAATTCCTATTCTTTTTCACTGGATGGTTGGCACTTTACAACATGTTTCAATTATACGAAAATGTTTTTATGTTGAAAATACGATGCACAAACTATCCTAATCAATATTTCAATTTGGGAAAAAATACACTGCAAAGTGTATGTCAATTTGTCAAAAACATCATTTTAAGTGCTCACCAGCCGCACCATTTTTTAATTGCACAAAACTAACCCTGGACTACAAAGAGTCCATATCTATTCAATAACTCGATAATTTCACAATCAGAAGCAATTTTGTTTATTTCAACGCACTTTGAACTTTTTATTGCACCGTTTTGTGTTATTATTATTATTTGAAAGTTTGTACGTAGTTTGATTTGTTTTGTTTGGTAGTTAGAAACGGATTTTGATTTAACAAAAATGTATGTAAAAAATGCGTTTTTGTCCGAACAAAAAATCCAAATTAACTTTGTTTGTTTTGAATTGATTAAAAATAAAAAAAAGAATGACTAAATTTTCATTGCAATTCGAAATTTGTGCGGTACTTCCATGCAATTCACATAAAAAAGGACTCAGTAAAGGATCGCTCATTGGATTAACAAGCAGCCGATCTTCGGTGCATCCACCATTAACACCAAATTCGGGGCCCCCATCTTCATCGAGCTTATTATGTTGGTTGACGAACATTCTCGTATTATCTATACATATATATATATTTTCCAAATTTCATTCCCAATTTTATTTGTATTGCTTACCTTTTTGCTTGATTTGCTTTCATTGATTTTGTTCGTTTATGGCTTTGCAATTTTGTTAAACCAAATTTTAATTGAATTTTAAATAGCTCTACCATCATTGGGATTTATTGAGTCGCGTCCCCCATTGGCATCCGCCAGACCGAAATGTAACAGCATATTACATTTGTTTGGCGAATGGCTCTTTGAAGCAGCGCACATTGGCGGTGATGCTTGGATACAGAATACGAAAAGTGAGTTTCGCATATATATTTCACACACAAAAAAATCAACTTAACTTTTTAAACGATTGTATCGTTTAATGTTGGATTCAAACGATAAATTCGTTTAAATTTGAAGATATTAAACGATTTTACCGTTTAAAAGATGAATTTATCGTTTGAATCCAAAATTAAACGATACAATCGTTTAAAAAGTTATGTTGATTTTTTTGTGTGCATAATCATTTAATTTCAATGCAACTTTTCGTCCATAGAACTGGCATCGGAAGCAAGCCGCAGACCATCTTCAATGATAGTTGACAGTCGAAAAGGGAGTTTATCATTGTCACAACCATCGTCATTGTCTGAATCTGCTGATTTGCCAACCGGTTTGAAAATCGATAAATTTGAATCGGGGCGGGCCGAAGCAATTGGCGCATTATGTCGAATATTTTGTGCAAAGAAAACTGGCGAAGAAATTTTACCCGTGTATTTGGCACGATTCTATGTGGCGATTCAACAAGGCTTAAAAACTCCAGAGAGTCGAGAATGTGAAGAAACCTTGGCCAGTATTTTATACAATTCGTCCGACTTATTTCGTTTGGATTTGGATGGTATACATGTACTATTGCCATCATTCATTTCTGCTTTGGAATTGGTACTGCCCGAAAAGGAATTGAAAATGAAATCAAATATTGTTATTAATAAAAGCGAATTGCGACGGGCATCGATTCAGATATTATTGACAATACTTGCGTTGCCGTTACATTTTCAAACACTACCAATTCGTGATTTGACCAATGCACCGGATAAGTAAGCATGAAAAGTGAGCATTTAATAATTCGTCCACTAATTACAATATTTTTTTACAGAGTGATCACATTCATACAATTAAAACCGCGACTTATTAACATACTGATGAATGCAATACAAGTGGAAACCGATCCACAGAATACACATATGTTACTCGGCGGTTTGATGCTATGTGTTCAAGATTCAGCGTTATTTGAAGAATGTGCCGAAATCAATGTGGATGCAAGACAAACATCGCCAGCACCCAGCGATACGAATCTACTTAGTTCGGGTATGAATAAGTCTTCAATCGGCATTATGTTTTTGCTATACATGTATTCATTTTTTGTTTGTGTTACCTACAACACTCGATAGAAAATCATTATCTCACAGACAAACAGTCTATATGTATGTAATATCCAAGTGTAGACATAACCTAAATGTTTCAAAGCGATGCCGATTCAACGACAATTTTTTTATTTTTTTTTTCTTATTTTATGTAAATCATTTTTCACTTAATGTTTGATTTGTCTCATTTTTATGTTTTATCATTTCACGTGTTTTTCTTTCTCTTTTTTCAACTTTATTTTGAAAAAAAAAAAAAAAAAAAAAAAAAAAAAAAAAAAAAAAAAAAAAAA